CCTAGGAGACCTCCGGGATGCCAGGGAGCTTCAAAAAAATATAGTCCCCCTTAAGTAGACAAAAAATGGCTTTGGGTATAAGATCCCCATATACCCCATTTTCTATCTATTTAAGGGGGACTGTAGGGGTTTAGGGTTTAGGGTTATGGGGTCATTGAAGGCTGTAGTGTAGAGGTTGTTCTTAGAATCTCGCCTATAAACCTTGCAAAGCCAGAGTCCTGACAATCTGCATGCGAAGATAGGGTCTTCTCGGAGAGGGTTTAGGGTTTAGGATTTAGGGACCGCACCATAGGGGGTTTCTCAAGAAGGAAGGTATTCCTGGCAGCTTGTAAGCACCGAGACCCTCAGCCCTTCACCCAAAATTCCAAAAAGACATCAAAAGACATCCAAATTGTTTTTTCCTTGTTGTAGGGACTTTCAAGGGTATCCCTGATTTTGGGAAGCTCGCATTTAATCCTTATAGGGTCAGGTGGACCCCCTACCCACTGATATTGACCTCCTATATTCCTACTCTACCGCTATTTCAGGGTGGGGGATCCCCCTACACCTACACCCTAAACCCTAAACCCTAAGCCCTAAACCCTAAACCCTAAATCTAGGTCCAGATAGGGTTGGTGAAGCCAAACGCTGCCCAGATGCCTTGGACAGCCCCAGACCGCCGCGCAAGCCACCTGGCAGGATGTTTTTAGGTTGTTGGGCTGCAGTGACTTGGGGTAATATTAGGGTCATTTTGGGGTTATATTAGGGTTATATTGGTGTTATATTGGGGTTATACTGGGATAATGGAAAGTAAGATGGGAACTACTGTTTAGGGTTTAGGGTAGGGGTTATAAAGGGAATATGTCGGGGATATAGGCTTATCCGGAGATTTATAAGGTTTAGAGTTTCCCCAAATTGGGGGTACCTTTTGTGGGTCCCCATTTTGAAAGATGATCGTATATTGGGGTCTGTATTGAGGTTCCTCTTTAGGGAAACTACCACTTCGGGTTGAGCTAGGGTGTTGGGACTTCGTATCCCCGCCTCAGGATTTAGGATGATTTTTAGGTTCCCAGGAAGCCCAATACCCCTTAAATCATATAAGGGGCCCTAAACCCTAAACCCCCAACCCTAAACCCTATACCCCTAAGCCCGCATTGCTCCAATCGTCTTTAGTTTCAAAGATGAGGTGTTGTTGCAGCTGTACCCTAACACGGGGTGACAGCCCGAGGAGGCCAGAGGCCGCACGCCTCAGCAAATGCAAGCGAAGAAACATTTCCGTCAAACCAACCCTGCCCGCGACTTCGCAGACAAAGCTCATGCTCATGCATGCGTTTAAGCTACGTGAGCAAAAGACATCGTCTTACAGATCTAGAGGGGTCACCCCCACATAGCTTAGCAACCATAACGTGCCTATGGGGGCTACCATATGGGTTCGCCATCATCCGTCTGCGTGGGGGCCGGCTTTTGGCTCTTAGCAAGGGAGACATCCGCACTAGCAGGGGCCTCCACAGGTTCGGGGCGCTTGGGGTCCTTGAGGGGCTCAGGCTCCAAGTCGGGAAAGAATTTGCTCTTGGGAGGATTGACAGAAACCGCTTCAAAGGCAAGTGGGGTACGAGGCGGAGCTTTTGAAACATGTGCCACAAATCACTCAACAGAAGAGTCTTGATAACACCAAGGGCCTTCAGTATTGCAAGCAGGAGGATGATGAAGTATCCCATGCCTGTGAAGCGGAAAAGTTGACTTTGGAGGACAAGGCGACTGCGGATACCGCAGTCTGGCTGGAGCCCTAGCTTCTTGCCAGACGAGGAAATTGATATTGAAACAGCCGTGCGCCAAGGAGGCGTTCTGCAAGCCTCATGTATTGCCCATGTTAGGAATTAAGCACTGTGGAAGCTGAAAAGTGGCTTGCCGAAATTGCCTCACGACGTGGATTTGTGGAGTGCAGCTATATGCTGTGCGTGAGAAGAGGGGGTGTCAATTCTGGTGTGGTATAGGGATGAGGATGCCATTGCTTGGCATGCTTCTTGGCGCCTGGCTTTACCAAAGATGTCAGGCCAAAAGCTGCGAGCGGCCGAGTCCCGGAAATCCCTTCCTGAAATCAGGATGCTGCCCTGAACTAAGGGGGTCGCGGAGCCCTGAGCTTCGGGTTGGGGTGCTCTTCTCCCGTGCACAAGCCTCCTGGTAAGGCCGCATCTGCGCATACCTGCACTATGCCGAGCGATTCTGTAGCACCAAATGATTCTGCATCATTTTCTGATTGCTCTCCTGAGGAGCCTGCAAAACCAGTCGCTGCGCCCCAGGGCTACTCTGCCCCGCGTGCTGCCAGCAAAAGAACTCGCATCCTCAGTGCCTTCACTGCGATGAGTCTGTCATCAGCACTGATATACAGCCTCATTGGAATCGCTCGGCTATGAAGATTCATCACCTGTCCGATGCCCATGGCTTACCCAACGAACACCTGGTGCGAGGAGGCGGCGCGGCGACATCGAGCACTTGCTTGCCAGAATAGGTAATGCCCAAGCAACTTTCGAACACAGGTGGTCTTTGGTCTGGGAGGCCTACAGCAACGCGTGTTCTGTTGGAACCACAAATTCCGCAAGGATCCTGACCACTGTAGATTGAATACTGAGCCAGCCATTGACCGCCAGTGGTCGCGAGCCAACGTGCACCCCTTGTAACCTTGCTGCACGCAATCGCATCCCCTGTGAAAAACGATTTGCCTCTCCTGGCCCTGGCAAACCTACCCCCTTGAACATCCGCAAGCATCCGCAAGCGTGATTGGAAGGGCTTCAGCCAGGAAACCTCGCGGGCCGTTCTCCACACCAGTCCTCGCAAGCGCCCTGCTGCTAAGCGTGAGTCTTCTTGACTAGGGCCTGAGCTTTCTGGACTGCTTTGGCCTGCTGCTTGTCCAAATTGCTCGTAATTAGGGCTAAGTGCCATTGCTCGCGGCTTTAGCGCTATACGCGTTGATGGCTCCAACTGGGCCACGTGCCAATCAAAATCGGGTTTTGCCAAACCGAAACGCGTAAATAAAATACGAGTCATATTAACGTCATGTGAGTATGCTTTTTCTCTTCTCTCTGATGGCGTCCGGGCAATTAGGCGCGGCCTGCATGCTGTCCGCCTGGGCGAAGCGGCTCACCGTGGCCCCGAGTCCCATTCCACTTTGGGTCTTGTCTCCTGGAACTCTCAGTCTTTTCTTGGCTCTGGGTCTTCGTTGGCTTTCTCGGCTATGGCTCCGATGAGACCTTGGATAGGACAAACGGAAAAATACCCCAAACCCTAAACCTCAAACCCTAAACCTAAATCTTAGACCCAGTTAGTATAGGCCAATATATGAGCTATCGTCTTATCTCCTAGTATCCCGCCTTCGTAAATCCTATAACACTCCCTTATATACTCCCTTATATAGGCCCCTGTTTAAAAAGTTTAGACTATAGCTCATACAGGGCCTAGGATGACCAAAGAGCCAGGGTTTAGGGCTTAGGGTTTAGGAATTTGGCTTTGGGGTCTAAGGTTTATGGATTAGGGCTTAGGGTGTTGGAATTGGGGTTTTACGGTTGCGAGAGGGGTATGGATTGGGCTTGTGTAGGCTGTCCGTCGCAAATAGGTGTGCTTGTGGGAGTTTTGGGTGTATTTGTGCGTGGTGCAGAACTGCTGACCGCAACAGAACCTTGCGCTGCTGTGTTGGCCATGCAAGTGGCGGACCCCTAAACCTGAAACCTCACAGTGCAACCAACCTTGAACTTCAAAGTTTTGCAGTCCTTGCAAATAGTGGGGTTATAAAGGGCAGTATAGGGGTATATAGAGGAATGCAAAAGAACACGGACGATGTAATTACGTACATTTCTTGGGGTTTTGGGTTGTGGGTTGATAGCAACCATTTCACCCCTCTAACATAAATTCCCTCCCTACCATAGCATAATGTGAGAGGGTGGCAGCTCATGGCGGTTCCTGTCAGGCAGCATGCACGGACTAAAACGGGCATTGCTGTGCTCATCAAAGATCATTTGGCTGGCCACTTGATCCACGATGCTTCGTGTGAAGCCAAATCAGTGTGTGGCTTATGGGGGCTGCCCGCCCCTCTCCAGCGTTTGTGCCTATCACCTATCGCAGGCCCCGTAATGTTGACCGCCTCCGACATGAGCTGGATGCCGCCCTTGCTCCTCTTCAAGGCGGAAATTCCACTTGGCCACCGACTGGAATGCCTCTGCGCATAACTCTGATTTTGCGTGACATGTTTGCCGTATGGGTGGGTCGCTAGCTGCCACTGCGGCTCATGTTTGTAGTCCCTTCCGAAGCTGGGGTTTGAGTTTTGGGGGGCTGGATGTGGGGCCCATGTCAACTTGTAACAGTGGTGAACCACTGGGAACAGGGGCTTCAAAATCAGTGACCCCTAGGGACGAGTATGATGAGAGTATGTGTTTGTTGTGAGGCATTATATTCACGTTACAGTGGTGCCCCAGCATGATACCTTTATCACATTTGGTTGCTATAGGTCGGTGGGGGATACCATGAGTTAGTGTAGCAGTTGGTGGTTGTTTTCTCTCTGCGCTGGAGATGAACCCAGACCTCAAGAGCGGACTCGAAACTTCGAACCCGTGGGCTTTAGAATGTTACAGATTGGGGACAGCGTAATTTCACGCAGAAAAGCTTCGCAGAACTGAACTAGCCTTGACCTCCAAACCGTGCAGAGTTGAAACAAACGCGGCTCGGCAAGGTTGAGTAATCATGGTTTAGGTTTTTGTCTGAGAGTTTAAGGGCATCTGACGTAGCATTTTGATTCTGGTTTCGTTGAGTGCCAACAGGCCTCCTCAGGGATTTTGATGAGTGTATATGGGATGTCCTTTTCATGAAACCATACGTGTAAATGATAGAAAATCCAACCTCAGAAAGCCAACATGTTGACCTGAATGCTTGCATCCCGGACCCTTCACCGCTTAATTTTTGACAACCTAAATTCTGGAGTCTACATCCCGAAAGTTTGTAACGCCTGATATTAAAACCCTTGCTTCTTCCAGGCAAGGGGCGCTTGGAGCCCGTCCCAGAGGCCTCCGGGACTAATCAGGTGGGATTGTTTTTTAGGGTTGAGGGTTTGGAGATCTTCTGGGAGATGTTTTTGTACGTGAGGCTGCGTGAAGGCATTTTTGGGGAATGTTGATACGGATATTCCTGAACTTTGAGGCGGCCATACTAAAGTAACGCAGGCCACCGTCTCTTCCCCGAATAGAAATCTCCTCCAACCCCTTACGTCTTACGTTGCATTTGTTTGCCAACATGCTCGGGCTAACTACTCTAGGCGGAGCTGAAATGGAGGGCAGGTTTTGTCTAAATGTAAGGGAAGGGATTGGCATGCATCATAAGAGGGACTGGTGTTCTACTCGCCTCGTATTTTCCGTCATCAAGCAGGAGGGAAGCATCGCAAGAACAGCAATGGCCGTCGTGATCGTTGCTGTTGGCATCGGCTGCAGGTGTAGAAATACAACTGCCAGTTTCAGGCAGTTGCAAGACAACCTTTTGGGAGTCCCAGGGTAAGGGTAAGGGCGATAACGGCATGTTTCTCTGGCTTATGAAGGTCGGCAGGCTTTTGGGCTTTCATGGCAAGACATCCAAAGATGGGGTTTCTAAAAATTGAGTGGTCTTCGGTACCCTTGTGAAGCAAAGGGATTATTGGGGTGTCGATGAAAGAGGTTCTGCGGACTTTTTGACAAACTAAACCAACGGTGACATGTTAAAAGGCCGTACACCCTGAGCCTTGCAACCTTGAGAAAGCGGAGGCAGACGCCGACAGCCCTCGGCGCGCGGAGGGTCGGCGCACGCCGCTACCTTTGGTGCTGCTCCCGCTCTCTGGGGAGCAGGCGCGGCATGGCTGACGTTAGGTCTTGAATCTGGAGTACCTTTATAGGGGATTATCTGGGAATATAGGGGTATGTACGGGATTTTACGGGTATATAGGGGTTTAGGGTTTCCCAAGATGAGGGGTCCCTTTAAAGGGGCGTTTATAGGGGATATATATGGATTAACAGGGTTAAGGGGTTTCCCAAAATTAGGGATGCCTTTCTGGGGGTCCCCAGAATGAGGGTTTTCGTATAAGGGGGTCTGAGGGTTACGGTGATTTAGAGGAAGGGAAGGTGGCCACGGTATCATCTATGGTACTTTCTGGGACCCAAAAATAGACCCCAACATGCTATAATCCTTTATTGGGGTCCCCAAGAAGGTACTCCTAGTATGGGACGCCCCCCTATGTGTATTCAGATCAAGGGGAAACCGTGAAGGGGGTGATAGCGGTGGGGTGTAGTAGGCGCACCCATGAGAGTCTGGTCATGGTACCAACAATCGCCGCGAAAACTGACCATCAATACCCTTTAGGGTTTGATGTTTAGGCTTCTAGTAGGAGGAGGAGGAGTCGCATTAGTAAGCGTACCTGTAGTGGCGGTAATTTTGTGTCAAGCTGTGCCGCGATCCCTAATCCCTCCATGCCTTACTTTACCTCTAGTCAAATGCAGGTGCCTCCAGAGATGCTTGTGGAGACCGTTCGCTCCAGCGCGCAGCCGGGATTTGCAAGGGTTTGGCTTGTAGGCTTAGGGTTTAGGGGTTTCCTTTACGGTAATATGGCTTTATGTAGAGGTTTTATACTGGTTAGCATGGAGTACGTGGGGACATTTAAGGTTTAGGGTTCTGGGGTTCCCTTTGGAGGGGATCTAGGAGTGATATGGAGGTTCTATAGGGGTTCAGGGTTCGGTGGTTTGAAGGTTCAGGCGTTTAGGGTACAAGGACCACGTGGTTTTGGAGTTGGGCTTTTATGGATGAAAAGGAGGAGCACTACTAGATTTTGAGCGTTCAGGGGGTTGGCGGGCTGTTTTAAGACGGAGGGCTGGCGGGTATGGGCTCAGAACCACATAATGGGCTGGGTGATGCTCCCACTCCGATAACAGTTGAATACAGAGCCCATTAAACCTAAACTTTTTAAAGAGTACACTTCGCTTCTCTATGCAGGATCACTAACTTGCAGGTAGGAGCCGCGCAATTTTGGGGCTTAATCTTGTTCTGTCATTCTGATGCCTCACAACGCACTCTGGCTCCTTGTTATGTGGAACGCTCCGCAGCTCCGGCCAGAGATCAAGTTCCCCGTCTTGAGCATGCTAGCTGAAACCCAAGAAGCGTCTTCAAGAAGACAAAGCCCCAGACTGTTCTACAACTCCCAGCTGAGGCCTAGCGAACTACTGTCTCATACATGTTTTCACATCCTATCAAGATAGTCGGCAGGCTACAAAAAGAAGAAGAAGCGTTCATTCACTTTCTGTTTCAGAATCATGGAAGCCTAGATGGAGCCCTATAGTCCCCCTTGAGTAGATAGAAAATGGCTTTGGGTATGTTTTAATAAGATCCCCATATACCCCACATTCTATCTACTTAAGGGGGACTCTACACACAAAGACGACTGTAGCTCTCACAGGGCCTTCGGACACCTGCATGTTCTAACAGCAGACCCGGGCCCTGTCACCTAAAACTCGCAATCCGCCGAGCCTGCTTTCCTAGGACAACCATAAGTGCTCGTTTAGGGTTTGGGGTTTAGGGCTGAAGTCTCTATGCCAACCTCTCAAACCCTAGATAACGCATTAGGGCACTAGGGTTTGGGGTTTAGGGTTGAAGTCTCTACAACAAGCTCCTAAACCCTATATAACCCACTATAGTTTTCTCTTCCACTATCCCCATATAGCCCCAATGTAACCCTAATATTACCCGAATGGGTACCTATATCCCCTGATTCTCTAAAAGCTGCTATGAAGCCCTGTATTTAGCCGCTGGAGCTTCGCGATTCCTACCGCTGGCTTTGAACACTCAGCCCTGCTCTTATCTCTAAACCGTGTTGCTTTAAACCAGAAGTAGTCAGCCATAAGCTGTGCGTATGCACATATGGTGGGATCTGAAGAGAATTGCTCTTTGTGGTACCCTAAATCTTTGGGGGGTTCGCGCTTTTAACCAGCTACCATGTGGCATATCTGTACTTTCATGATACATACACACCTAGACCCTGAACCCTAAACC